TCAGAAACACCATAGTAGTGCTATTCATTTTAAATAACAACATCCTCTTGCTTCTCAGCCCTAAACATTATGACCAGAATTCTGGTACAGCTCTAGAATCATATTTATAATAAGTGCTCCAGGTAACTATGATGCAGTAGGCCCTGGTCTGTTTAAGAACCACTGATCTATTCCAACATCCCACCCAATATGGCAGCTCTCTCTACAGGATACCACATAGGTTACCCGGTCCACGCGACAACATTCACAGAGACCAGTGCTCTCACCCTTTTGGAAGTGTTGTTCCATTTTTAGATGGCTTAGTTACTAGAAACTGTATTCCTACATTGAGCCAAAAAGTCAAGGTCTTTAGCTCCTTGTACTTCACTTATTGTAGACCCTAATTTTATGCCATAGCTGACACAGAATGCCCCCTCTTACAAGAGTCTGTAAATATCTAAAGCTAGCTACCACAATGCCCTTGTGAGACTTAATTTTTCTAAGCTTAAACAACTTTTTTCTTTTAACTTCATAGAACATAATTGAGTCCTTCTTCATTTCAACTGTTCTTTCTCACCAACAGGCCTTACAGGATAGGACTGTCTAGAGTAATAATACTTCCTTTTTCTTGTAAGTGAAGTAAGTAAAAATACTTCATTTTCTTCATTTTGGAACTTTTTAAAAAATGCACTAATTTCTAGTCTATGTTTCACTCTCATCACTCATTATCTTGCACTTAATGGCCAAGAGTCAAGAATCAGCAAGTATTTATTAACTTAATGTTGTGTTCCTAGCACCGTGTAAGGTACTCAGAGGATTCAAAAGCCAACGGAAATCATCACATTTTGAGGAGTTAATACTTTCTTGTACAGGAAGAGCTTGGATATGTGAATTAACTTGAAAACGGAATAATGGTATGCAACAGAGTGCTCTAAATGCCTATCATATGAAAGACTGAACATTAGGTTTTTTTGGATCGGGCTGTAAACTAACTCATGGCCTCTGTTTGCAAATATATCAAACAGGTAAATATTCATTTGCTCTGGAGCTCTGCTGGAAGTCTGTGGGCTAACTTGTTTATGTATATCTAAAATAATGAGATAAAGAAAGAAAATGAAAAAAGAAGACACAAGGTGGCTCATGCCTGTAATCCCAGCACTTCTGAGAGGCCAAGATGGAAGGATCACCTGAGGCCAGGAGTTCAAGACCAGCCTGGAAAATACAGAGATACTTCATCTCTACAAAGTTAGAAAAAAAAATTAGCCAGGCTTGTGGGCACATGCCTGTAGTGCCAGCTACTCTGGAGGCTGAGGCAGGAGGATTACGGGAGTCCAGAGGTTTGTGGCTGCAGTGAGCTATGACTGCACCACTGCACTCCAGTGTGGGTGACAGAGCAAGACTGTGTCTCACCAAAAAATAGAAAAGAAAAGAAATACATAAACCAAATTAAAGAAAGCAAGCAGAGGCTGGGCGCAGTGGCTCATGCCTGTAATCCTATCACTTTGGAGGCCAAGGGAGGCAGATCATTTGAGGTCAGGAGTTTGAGACCAGCCTGGCCAACATGGTGAAAACCTGTCTCTATTAAAGATAAAAAAAATTAGCCGGACATGGTGGCATGCGCCTTTAATCCCAGCCACTCCGGAGGCTGAGACATGAGAATCGCTTGAACTTGGGAGGTGGAGGCTGCAGTGAGCCAAGATCATGCCATTGTACTCCAGCCTATGTGACAGAGCAAAACTCTGTCTCAAAAAANATGACAAATAGGTGGCTTAATATCACTGATCATCAGAGAAAAGCAAATCAAAACTGCAGTGAGATATCATCTCACCCACTAAAATGACTTTGACTTTTATCTAAAGACAGGCAATAACAAATGCTGTCAAGTATGTGCATAAAACAAAAACCTTCTACACTTTGGTAGGAATGTAAACCAACACAACCACTATAGAGACCAGTTGGGAAGTTCCTCAAAAAACTAAAAATAGGCCAGGCGTGGTGTCTCACTCTTGAAATCTCAGCATTTTGGGAGGTGGGTGGGTCATTTGAGGCCAGGAGTTCAAGACCAACTTGCCCGACATAATGAAACCCTATGTCTACTAAAAAATACAAAAATTAGCTGGATGTGGTGGTTCATGCCTGTAATCTCAGCCACTTGGGAGGCTGAGGCACAAGAATCACTTGAACCTGGGAGGCAGAGGTTGTAGTGAGCCAAGATTGTGCCATTGTACTCCAGCCTATGTGGCAGAGCAAGAATCTGTCTCAAAAAAAAAAAAAAAAAAAGGAATGAAAGAAAGCAGAATATTGCCTTAAAATGTACTTAAAAATTTCAAGTGCATCCTTATATCAGAGATTTAAAATCTAAAACTACATAAAAATCAGGTAGAATACTCTCCCTTCTTATAGGCATGTCCCTGGCAGTGCTTCCCAAGCATTCAGGATGACAAGGTCCGGGTAAAAGGCAAAAAGCAAAAGGTTTATATGATTCCTTTTCCTAACAGAAATATCCATTCGATGAGTAGACTGCCCAAGTATTTCAATGGAAAACTCTTACCAATAAATGAACTATACCAACAACAAAAGAATGCACTTATTCCATTCACTGATCATGCTTTATGAACTTACACAAATTCCTTACTTTACAGATAAGAGGGGAAAACATCCTTTCAAAGGCAGCACGAGATTTCTCCGAGATAAAGCAGACATTGAGTAGCTGGGTGGGGCCGATACCTGGTTCCCCAGGCTACTGCTGGCTTCTTGTCTCCTTTTATTTAGTAGGGACAATCATCAAAACTCTTGCTCTCTTAACATTTTCCTCCTTAACTTTACTCCCACCTTTAGTTAAATTTCCAGACTTCAAATCCAAAGTCTGATGATGGTACATTTTGTGTGGGGATATTTTTAGGAAAAGGATGGACAAAACAGAATTAGGTAGTTTTGTTTTCTGGTTTTTGTTTTTTTTTTTTGAGACAGGGTCTCACTCTGTTGCCCAGGCTGGAGTGCAGTGGCATGATCACAGTTCACTGCAGCCTTGAACTGCTGGGCTCAAGTGATCTACCCACCTCAGCGTCCCGAGTAGCTGCAACTGAAGGCACAAGATACCATGCCCAGCTGGTTTTTGTATTTTTTTTCTTTTTGTAGGGACAGGGTCTTGCTATGCTGCCCAGGCTGGTCTCAAACTCCTTGCCTCAAGCTACCCTCTCACCTCAGCTTCCCAAACTGTTGAGGTTACAGGCATGAGCCACCACACCTGGCCAGGTGATTAATTTTTTAAATTAAATTCTTGCATGCCTATTTTACCTGCAGTCTAAAGATAAAATTCTACCTGGTTCAGGATCTCTACTGCCTTACCAGCATTACAGAAAACTGCTGCAGTTAGCTACAGGGATTCAACCAAAACTCTAAATCTGCAAAGCAATGAATAAACGATCCCCAACTATTTTACCCTCTCCCCCACCACACACCCGCACCCACACCCACACACCCCTAAATCAACCAGCTCATCCACTTCACTGGAAGCCTCACAGTCAACACCCTTATATGGACCACAGGGGGAAATGCACCTACCTTGTGGCCTCTTGCTGAAGCCATGACACATTTGGCACATAGAACATGACTCCAAAGAAAAGCAGAGGCTCATTAGCGAATTTGTCCAGATGTTTCTTCAGAGGTTTCTCCAGCTCCACCCATCGTGCTTGCTGGCTCTTGCTGAGAAACCACAGGCCAAAGTAGTGCGTCTAGATAAAAGGGTAAAATAACATCAGTTCATGCTCACCACAAGCATCCCAAAGCTACACAAGAAACAAGACTCCAGCACGCTGCATCACACCTTGGGTTCCCCAGCCTATATACAAGATCCAGCTTTGACATCTGACTTTGGGACAAATTAAAAGACACCACAACGATACACTACTGCAGTGTACATGGAGTATCCAGATGCAGTATCCCTACTCATTACTACTATTTGTGCTTATAGATACCAACGTGCCTATGCGAGGTAAGGGGAGTCACACAGGGAAGGGCCAGTGCTGACTCTTCCGCTGACATCTGAAGGCTGCCTTTTCTGTGTGTCTCCTGCACGCTTCGTGATCTCACATGGAGCACACTGGCAAAGGCCAACGCTGCTCTTGCACCTGCTGCAAAGTAACTTATTACTCAATTCCTAAGACAAAACTGCCTGCCAGCCGAAAGCTTCTGCACTGTAGAGTATTTTCACACAGTACCAGATTGTAACTGAGAATTTATTCACTCTTTTCGTGTGCTTTAAAAAGTATCATCCTCTTCCACTTTATTATACACGAACTGCAGCAAATCTCTCCCCATACCAAGCTTTGAGAGAGGAAGGATTGCCTCTTCACAGCTGTGGCAGGAGCCCTGGTGGCTGTTCTTGGCAGATTACGGTGGGATTTGATAGATGAAAGTGAGATTTTCACCCTTAGACTTGAAGCCTAAAGCAGTTTCGTTCTGAACAACATGCTAAATGATTAAAACAGGTACTTCTACGCACCCAATCCCATCTTTTATATTAATTCATGCTAGGATTTCAGGATTAGCACAACAATCACCAAAAAATAGATCACTGCTTTTGAAGATTCTTTTATATTTCAATTACAGCCTAGAACGGTTTACAGCACACCTGGAAATCTGCCTTCAAAAGAATGTTTTCATTACAATGTTTAATTTCCAAAGGCATTCTTATGCCGATGTTCCCACTCCAGCTGGCTGCCCCCTCAACACGACCACAGATCAATCCCTGCCACAACCCCACCAACATTTCTAATGAAGCTTTAACTCTGACTTTACTAGAAAACCAGGTGTGCCCTTGCCTACATAAAGCTGCAGACCCAGATGCTTTAGAGGCTATTTTAAATGGATCCACTTTGAGATGGGGGTAATGGTTTGATCAGCTTTCCTCCATGATGTTCCAAATGACAAGTTCATACCAGAAATCTATGCATTTCTTGAGGAACAAAATGCTAACAGAGCCAAAGTTACATTTCTGTCAACTTAGACAAACTAACTTGGATGAATTCTGACCCCATTATTCATTTCCTAGCTCCAGCGAGTCCATTAGTTGTTCCAACCTGAGTGACGACAAGAGGAAATAAAATATGGCTGAAAAGAAAGAAAACAGACTTCGAAGTCAGTCCATCTCCCCACTTTTGCACTCACTGTCTCAGTAACTTTACACCAGTCATTGAGCCTTCTATACCCTCAGTTTTCTTCTCTGTAAAATGGGGGTGATGGTTACAACTCTCACCCACAGGCTCTGAGAGGTGTACATGAGATCATGCCTGTCAATCACCTGCATGGCACATGGTAAGTCACTCATTCATAAGCGGTACCTTCTACTGCTGCTGTGGCTGCATGACTGCTACTCCTGTTACCCCCCCCACCACCACCATCACCAAAAAAATGAAAGCAGGCAAACCTCACGAATCTTTTTCATCAGCACTACTGACATCTCTATGAACCAGAGAATTAGAAAACAGAGGTTATCTGGGAGTCAATGAGAAAGAGCAGGCAAAGGTAAAAGCTGGGACATCTATAAATAACATAAATATTTAAAAGATGTAAGAAAAAAAAGTCAGAAAGCTACACTTCCACTAAGATTTTGAGGATCTCATAATAGGTGATAATGGGACACTGGAACATCACTCTGACGGCATCCTCTGAGATCTATGACGTAGACTTAAGCTAATGTTAACAATGAAGTCATTTGGGTACTCAATTCAAGCAACTTGTCTGAAGAGGGTCCAAAGTAGTTCTACATTATACTGAATTCCTTTATGGAACACAGGGCCATATGAGGGTATTCCAAAGTATTTTGAAGCCTAGGAATGAGTCTCCATATGATAAATTAGGTAACATATGTAATTAATGTGCTATGCAGCAATTATTAAAGTTGGAAAAGAACCCTTTTATAAGCATGAGTGGAGCAACAGAGGGCAAGCTTCACAATTGCTTAACAGGCTAACGATGATTTATTATCTTTCACTAAAAGTAGTTTTGACATTTGGGAGATATTTTTATGTAGATATTTCATATTTCATTCAAATTAGTAACATTCAAATTACAGAGGACCACAGTAACTGCATAAATGTTCTACAATCGATTTTGAAAAACAGTTAAAAATTTTATTGCTTCTATGCCTTGAAAGCTACTATTTTAAATTTCCTTTTCTCATTCCCATCCATCCAGATCATTAAACCAGGCCTGACTTCCACCCCAGAAAACACTCAGAGAAAGAATACTCCATGGAGTACACACACACAAACATGTATGTGCACATATACAATATAACACACACACAAAACGCACACTACAGACACACACACACACACTCCTGTGCATACACACATATGCATATGTTTAGAAGAAGAATGATGAGGTATAAGAGAAATGACAGTAAGGCAATAATCTTGAACCACAGCTCTAAATAACAAAGCAAACCACTTCTAAAGAAAAAACCTAACTCATGACATAAATTTTTCATTGCCGTGGTACGGCATCTTCCAAAGGACACAGAATATTTCAAGGTGACTCACCAAGTAATTATCCAATGAAATAATTACATAACTACTCAAGAAATGGGGTTTCCAGTGTGTAGGCAGAACTGGGGGAGGCAGGTAGGTAATCTGGACAACAGAGTCTGTACCAACTTACGGCCAGAATGTCCTACCTTTAGAATTGTGAAATTCAGTTCTCTAGCTGGAAGAAAAGTCAATTTATGAGATCCCCATTCCCACACTGACTTTTGAAGCTACGCCCAAAGTAACTTTTCCATTCCCACCCTATTCCTCTTGTTCTTCCTCTAGCTATTTCCTACTCTGGAGTAGAAAGACTCTGCCTCAAAAGTACAATACAGCACACATTTATTCTCCTACATCCACACAGTGCCTCACAGGAAACAGAATCAGAGCCTAAGGTCTCGTTTCAACTAGCATGTGCACCAATCAACTTCCTGTATATTATCCAAGGAACTATTAGTCCCATCAAGCCCAGCTGAGACCCCACCAGGCTGGTTCCTGGTTGACTTGCCAATTGAAACTCTAGCTCAGTTTTGGAGCTGAGCTTAGCTGCTAAACATTGCCACATGGTGGAAGAAAGCATGCTGGATGACCACAAATAGAAACCACCTTCTTCATGACACCAAGAAGATCCCATCACATTACCTGAGTATATGCCTGAAATATTTGTTCTGCTTATATCTCAGGCACCAAATGTAAGCCAGACTCATTTAATCCTCACGATACCTCCTCTGGGTGAGGTATGAATCCCATTTTATTGCTCTAGTTTTCTTAAGAAAACTAGAAGACACAGCTCTGGTGCCATGAGTCCTGCAGTAAGTTTACTGCAATGATAAGAAAAGAAGCCAGAAGAACCAGTCCTCAAGGACAGGAACCACATCTCTGAAGCAACGACAAAAAAATGCACTACGATGAAACCAAGCAGGGAAAGCCACACCAAAATGTCATTTTTATGTGAGCAGCTTCCTCATTTGTTTGGTTTGGGGTATTGCATTTTAACACAGGAAACATACATTTAAGCATATACTGAAAATTCTGCTAGTTTTTCAATGGCAGATTCATGTGTGGATCCTACAGTGTCAAAATGGCCATCTTTTGGTATTATGAAAAGATTCTGGAGAATAAGGGCCCTTCGAAGGAGTCTGGGGGGCAGGGGGCATATGGGAACCCTCTGTACCTTCTGCTCAATCTTGCTGTGAACCTGCTGTAAAGAAAGTAAGTCTATGAAAAAATAGTTGGGGATGGTTTTGATTTGTTTGTTCATTTATTTGTAAAGAGATGGGATCACCCCTCACATTAGCTATTAAAAGGAAAATATTTTTTGAGGGTTTTGTTTTTCCAGTTTTATGAACAATGGCACAGACTTTAATGCTAATTGTAAGAGGTTCAGACGCAGTCTTGGCAATTACTAAGGATTAAAGCCATGATCTTATCTCAAGCATTTTGAAGAGTTACTCATCCAGAAGCAAAAGTTTAAAATACCTTGCATTAACTTGTAATAGGGTGCCTGTCTTACCCAGTATTTCAGCTGTAAATTAAGAAACAGTTGGTGTGCTTCCACATAAAATACATGAATTACATATGACACAAGCACAAACAGCTTAAAAATACTTCAAAAGATGACTATAAGCAGACTCTGAAATAGCGCTTCATGCAATTACATTCCAACGGCTTTGGAAAATAAGCCACTATACATCAGTTGGATAACGGTAGAAAAGAACTTGTGTGTAATCAACCTCTACTCTGGGTAGGTCTGAGATTTCTATAACCGACACATCTATAATTAACAACTGCACCCTCTTCATTTTCCTAGCCAATCGCTTTATGAAAGTACAGGAAAAGAAACTGCCGAGTAACGCAGACCCAAGAAGCAAGTCCTATAGCCAAGAAAAGCCACTCTTCTGTGACTGTACAGCTCACCTAGAATATATAGAAAGATGAAGACATACAAGTTAAGACTGGTGAATATTCACCTACAATCTCTATACCTAGAAAATGGAGATGCTGGTGCCATTACTGACATTAAGCTAATAATGTTTCACACTATAATTTTTTTTTTTTTTTTGAGACGGAGTTTCGCTTTTGTTACCCAGGCTGGGGTGCAATGGCGCAATCTTGGCTCACCGCAACCTCCGCCTCCCGGGTTCAGGCAATTCTCCTGCCTCAGCCTCCTGAGTAGCTGGGATTACAGGCACCATGCCCAGCTA